AGAGGGCAAGGATTTATGTCCTTACCACTTGTGCTCAACATAATACTGGAATTCTAACCAGTGCAATAAGACAAGATAAAGAAAAAAATTTAAAAGTACATGGAAAAATAAAACTGCCTCTATTTATGGATGACATGATTATCTATATATAAAATTCTAAGGAATCTACCAAAAAGTCCTAGTGTTTAGTGCAAAAGAAAAATCCTAGTACTTAGTGCGACTTCAGCCATGTCACAGGTTAGAAGATCAACACATTAAAATATATTTCATTTCTTGGGGCGCCTGGGTGGCTCAAATGGTTAAGCGTCTGCCTTCGGCTCAGGTCATGATTCTGGGGTCCTGGCATTGAGTCCCGCCCGCATCAGGCTCCCTGCTCAGTGGGGAGCCTGCTTCTTCCTCTGCCTCTCTCTCTCTCTGTGTCCCTCATGAATAAATTTAAAAAAAACTTAAAAAAATAAAATATATCCCATTTCTATATATTATGAATGAATATTTGGAAACCAACTTAAAAATGCAATTCCATTTACAATTACTTTATTTATTTATTTACTTACTTACTTATAATTTTTTAATGTAGGATCCTCACCCAGCATGGAGCCGAAAGCAGGGTTGAACTTATGACTCTGAGATCAAAACCTGAGCTGAAATCAAGAGTCTACTGACAGACAGAGCCACCCAGGTGCTCCAATTTTGAATTACTTTAAAGAAAATATATTACTTAATGCTAATGAATTATGCAAACCACCCCCCTTCCAAAATTCATATGTCAAAATCCTAACCCCCAATGTGATTTTTTCTGGAGGTAAGGCTTGTAGGAAGTAATTAAGGTGAAACAATGTCATAAATGTAGAGTCTTAATTCATCCATTGGTGGCCTTAAAAGAAGAGGAAGATCTCTCTCTTTCTCTCTCCTCATGCATGCACTGAGGAAATGCCATGTGAGCACTTGAAGAGAGCTCTTACTAGAACCCAACCATGCTGGCACCTTGATCTCAGTTATCTATGCTTCAGAACTGTGAGAAAATAAATTTCCCCTCTTTAAGCCAAACAGTCTATGGTGGCTTGTTATGGCAGCCCCAGAAGACTAAGACACTTAGGTATGCACTTAAAACATACACAGTATTTGTATGCATACATATACATACATATGTATACTGATGAAAGTAATCAAAGAATTAAATAAATGGAGAAGCAAACTATATTCAGAGATACGAAGATTCAACATAGTAAAGATGTTAATTTTCTCCAAATTAATCTATAGATTTAATGCAATTTAATATCCAAATTCCAGCAGAATTTTTATAGCATAGATGAGCCTATCCTAAAATTTATATAGAAAATCACAGGCCCAGGAATAGCTTAAATAATCTTGAAAGAGAATAAAATGTCAGGAATGACTTTATGTGATATGAAGTCTTACTATATAGTTACACTACTTAAGACTATGTGGAATTAATGCAGGTATAGACACAAAGATCAATGGAGCAGAATAGAGAGCCCAGAAATAGAACCACACAAATATGTTCATCTGGTTTTTTACAGTGGTACAAGAATAATTCAGTGGAGGAAGGAAAGCATTTTCAGCAAATGGCACTGGGATCAAGCCCCATGTCAGGCTACCGGCACAGCAGAGAGCTCTGCTCCTCTCCCTCCAACTCTTTCAGGTAAATAAATAAAATATTTTAAAAGTCACCACTTTGTAATCAAAAAACAAACAATTGAAATAATTGATTCAGTAAAAGGTTATCAGTGGATTCTTAAACCATTAGGCAAATGTTGGAGAGGAAGAAGATATTCACACAGTGTCAAAATAACGCCCCTCAGATTACTTTCTTATTGCAAAAGGAAAACTGTACCTCTACAATGGAGATATCTGGCAATCACTATCTTAATGAAGATAGAGCATTTAGTAGTATCATTAGCACTGGAATGACTTGACACCATGAAACTCTGATGTGATGCAATATGAAGTATACAACATCTGCCAAAACAACATACTTGCTAAAATGTGTAACTTGACTCTAATCAAGACTTTAGATTTGACTTTTAGCTGTAGAGGAAAAATATTGGGTAAAAGATCAATCTAAAGTCTACTGTAAGGAAAGAATCAGGCAAAATCAACAATTGACTGGCCTGCTTGATTATTATTTTTTTAACTTCAAGTTTTTATTTAAATCCCAGGTAGTTAAGATACAGTGTAATATTAGTTTCAGGAGTAGAACTTAGTGATTCATCACTCACATAAAATGTCCAGTGCTCATCACAAGCGCCCTTCTTAATACCCATTATCCTTTTAACACCCTCTACCTTCCCTCCAGTAACCTTCAGTTTGTTTTCTATGTAGTTAAGAGACTGTTTTCTGGTTTGCCTTTCTTTCTTTTCCCTCTATGTTCATCTGTTTTGTTTCTTAAATTCCACATATGAGTCAAATCATAATGGTATTTGTCCTCTCGGACTGACTTATTTTGCTTAGCATAGTACTCTCTAGATCCCTCCACAGTGTTGCAAATGTTAAGATTTCACTCTTGTTTATGGTTTAGTAACATTCCATTGTGTATACATATCATATTTTCCTTATACATTCATCAGTTGATGGATATTTGGGCTCTTCCCATAATTTGGCTATTGTTGGTAATGCTACTATAAATATTGGAGGTGCATGTATCCCTTCTAATGAGTATTTTTGTATCCTTTGGATAAATACCTAGTAGTATAACTGGTGGGTTGTAGGGTAGTTCTATTTTAACTTTTTGAGGAACCTCCATACTGTTTTCCAGAGTGGCTGCACCAGCTTACATTCCCACCAATGATGTAAGGGTGTTCCCCTTTCTCCACATCCTCGCCAATATCTGTTGTTTCCTGTGTTGTTGATTTTAACCATTCTGACTGATGTGAGGCTGATTGTTTTGATTTGTATTTTCCTGATCAAGAGTGATAAGCATTTTTCATGTGTCCGTTAGCCACCTGTACATCTTCTTTGGGAAAATGTCTATTCTTATCTTCTACCCATTTCCTTTTTTATAATATTTATTTATTTATTTGAGAGAGAGAGAAAGAGAGCATGAGCAGAAGGAGGGGTAGAGGAGGAGGGAAACAAGCCAGCTCTCTGCAGGGCTCAATCCCAAGATCCTGAGATCACTACCTCAGCCGAAATCAAGAGCCAGATACTTCATGGACTGAGCCACCCAGGTACCCTATCTTCTGCCCATTTCTTAATTTGATTATTTGTTTTTTGGGTGTTGAGTTTGATAAGTTCTTTATATATTTTGGATATTAACCCTTTACTCATAAAGGGTTAGTTTACTCATAAAAGGTTAGATATGTCATTTGCAAATATCTTCTCCCATTCTGAAGGTTGCTTTTAATTTTTGTTAATTGCTTCCAGCACTGTGCAAAAGCTTTTTACTTGATGAAGTCCCAATAGTTCATTTTTGCTTTTGTTTCCCTTGCCTCCAGAGATGTGTCTAGTAAAAATTTGCTATGACGTAGATCACAGAGACTAAAAAAAAATAACCAAAGTGAATGTGTGAATTTTAATTAGATCCTATTTTGGGGGGAAATCTTTTTATAAAACACATTCAGGAAACAATTTAGGAAATTTAAATATATACTGGTAGTTAGAGAAAATTGGAAAATTACATTGATTTGTAGATATGATGAGGATACTGTGGCTATACAAGAAATTATGCCTTGTTTGCCTTAAAAATAAAGCTGCCAGTAATTTTACCAGCAAAACTGGGTTTATGTGGGAATAGCAGAGAGTTCCGATTCAGGACAAGCAAGCTATGGCAAAACCCTAGGAAAATCCAACAAACAAAGGAGAGGAACATTATTTTATGGGGAAGAAGGAGGACTTTGGGAGATGTTCTTTTGAACAAGTTCATTGGAGAAAAGAAAGGGTTCAGTGTGATGACCATTTCTCAATGGCTGAGTTGCAGGGGTGTGGATTTCTTGTAGGAGATGCAGTGTACATATTTCCCTGTTAAGACAGACCTGCAATGATAATTTCCTGTCCAGAGTCTTCTCTCAGGGGTGTGTAATTGACAATTCTCCCTGTAATTTCCCTACTCGACCCCCACTTCTCACATCCCCAATCCACTTCAGTTGAGATTTTCCTTTATTTATTGTCATAGCCTCTATTCCTAGGACATGAGTGCTGAAATATTGAGAGATTAAGTGGCATTGATTTGTGTATCTTACTTAAAAATACTCTTCAAAAAGTATATACATTCTCATGCATACATATGACAAAATATTAAGAATTATTAAATATGTGCGTGGATCTCTGCTTGCACCCAGTATGTGTAGATGTCACTACAAAATTCAGGAAGCACTTTTTGGAAGATTCCTCACTGTTTTCCCAGGTACTCATTACACAGCAAAAAGAAGGATCCAAGCTCATTTTGTGGGGTCTCTCCTCTGGCCATGTCTATTGATCACATCAATTTCCAAAGTTTCGCCTTCATATTTATGATTCTCATAGCTGTTACGTTTTCTTGGTTTAGATGGACAAATTAGTGCATTGTTTCTTCTTTTACCTCTTATTCTTAAAAGACAAATTTACAAAGTACACTTTTTGTCCTGTATTGAAGTTAACATCCGGTTTCTCTCTCGGTCCGCTGGTGTGTTGCAACATAATATTGTGGGTCGTTATTTTTATTAGCCCTGACTATAGTACAATTACACCCTACATATTTTGTGAATGTTTCAGTTTGTCTCTTCTACACTAGATGAATGGTGGTTATTTTAAACTGTTCTGTCTGCTGCAGCATCCAAGCTAGATAAAAAGTCTGCAGCATTTTTAGTGTTTCAATATTTTAAGGATAAGCTTCTGATGAATGAACAATAGAACATAGTATTTAGGGAAGGGGCAGCTGATAGGCTTAGCCAGAATTTCAGGCCAGTAAAGGCTGTTTTGATAGGGTCAAAGAAAGGGTCTCTACATCCCATTCAACAAGTGGCCAATCAGGCTGACGCAATGAGGCTGCTCAGTAACTTACTAGGAAACCACCGGCGGTGGGCGCGCGCTTGGAAGGCTGCAGGCGCCATGGGCAGAGTGAGGAACGGCGCCAGCACCCAGCCGCGGGGGCGAAAGCGCCCCGGGGATCCCGCCACCGCCTGTGCAGCCATCGCGGTCATGGGAGCCCGGCGCCCCCCTTTCCAAGTCCGCGTGGGGAGCCACGCGGCGGGAAGGAAGTCAGCGGCGGCCAGGCGGGATCCCGCAAGGTTGCGGCGGAAGCGCTGGTGGCGGCGGGCCCGGGAGGCAGGCTCCAAGGGCCCGCTGCGATCCCCGAAGCCGCGGGCGCCCGCCGTGTCCGCCGGCGAGATGGACCTGGGCGCGCAGCGGGAGCGCTGGGAGACGTTCAGGAAGCGGCGGGGCCTCAGCTGCGAGGGCGCCGCCAAGTTCCTGCTGGACACCTTCGAGTACCCAGGCCTGGTGTATCACACCGGAGGCTGCCACTGCGGCGCGGTCCGCTTCGCCGTCTGGGCCCCCGCAGACCTGCGCGTGGTGGATTGCAGCTGCAGGCTGTGCAGGAAGAAGCAGCACCGACACTTCCTCGTCCCGGCCTCGCGCTTCACTCTCCTGCTGGGCGCCGAGAGCATCGTCACCTATCGATCCCACGCGCACCCGGCGCTGCACAGCTTCTGCGGCAGGTGCGGGGTGCAGAGTTTCCACGCCTCTGTCTCTGACCCCGGCGTGTATGGCGTCGCCCCGCACTGCCTGGACGCCGGCACCGTGCGCAGTGTGGTCATCGAGGAGGTCGACGGTGGCGACTGGGGGGAGGAGGCCGTGAAGGAGCCCAAGGCCATCCAGAGCGCGTCCCCCGAGTGAGCTCCTGCCTCTCCTCCCGAAGAGGAGCAGTGACTGGGGCCGCAACACGCCTGAAACATGCCCGCCCCCCCCCCCCCCCCCCCGAGGGAGCCACCTCAGTGCTTGTGAAGGGATTGCTGTATGAAAGAGGTCGGTTTCTGGACTGATGACCCCGTGATGTCTCTCCAGGTTTCCACCCCTTCCCTTTCAGTGTTTTGCAACGAACTTGGACTTGCTTATGATCAAAAAACTGAGCACACATTTGTCTGTCAACAGCCATAATCTTCCAATCCAATAAGCAAGTAGTGTCTCTACTTTTTCAAGTCGCCTTGTGTAACCCTGCCTTGTATTCTTTATTCTTCGTGTAGTTCTCGTAGATCATTTTCAGATCATTCATATGTATTGTACCGTTACGGTGCTATTGTGAACGAGATTGTTTTTAATGGTCGCATCTGGTATGCAGGACCACTCCCTATATCCAAACACTTTGGTGAACATTTCTTAGGACGTTTCCTGTTGATTATCTGCGTGCGTGTGTGTGTAATTTAGGTCAGCACTCGCGTTTTCGCTACTTAGAGATAGGTCAGCACTCGCGTTTTCGCTACTTAGAGATAGGCGTTGATTTCAGCCATGTTGTTTATTTAATGTGTTTTTATATAATATGTTTAAGCTTCATTAGTGTGACATACCCCGTTGTGCTTATGTTTTCACATGATGCTGCCACTTTCCTTGGTTTTGTTTTAGAAACTGTCTGTGGGTAGGGTGATGGGGAGGCAGAAGAATGAGAAAGATGTCTGTGCGCTGTATATATGCCCTCTTTGATGTTTTGAAATTCCTATCTTGAACATGTGTTCAGTATTCAGATATAAAGTGTTCCAGAAGTAAATACTTAGTAACTATAAAACTATGTATTTCTATGTTGTACATTATAGGTCAGCATCAATTTATATGTAATTTCTTTATATCTGAGATTTTTATCAAACAATAGGTGGTGAGAGTGTCTTTTCCTATCAAATGATATGTATAAAAACATTTAATAGCTTCGTAGAATTAAAAAATGTGGATCTTCTGTAACTTGTTTAACCAACCTCTTCTCATTGGTAGTTGCCTTTTCCCCCCTACCTTTTGACTATAATAATATTTTGAAGGAGTAAAGTAGAAATAAATATTCTGAGTGTTCTCTCCCTTGGATAAAAGGGCCCAGAACTCTTTCCATCTCTTTTTCTTGCTGTTTGTCTCTCTTGTGTACATATATTTCATTAGATGTGCATACCATATACATTGAATTAACTTGACATAACAACTTATAAATGATTTAAATAGGTATGTGTTTCCATGTATTGCAAATAACATGGCAGTCATCACACAGAAGCTATCGTCCTTCAATTGTTAGCTCTCATTTTCCATCATCCTCCCCACCCCAGCCTAGAGGAAGGGAATTTACTACCCTCTGCTCCTCAAGTTCCTCCTTTGTTATTTGGAATAGCTTGGCCCATCCCTTTACCATCTAGAGGTTGGGTTGAGATAGAAAAGGGAGAGAGAGAGGGAGAGAACTTGAACATGCACATATACCCCTAGGAGATTCAGTCATCTTTGTGGTCAGAAAAGACCAATTGCACCTAGAATTACACCTATATGACATTCCATTGTCCATTGCATGGATGGGATCCAGAGAGAAAGAAAAAGAAAATGTCACCTTCATGCTTCTACCATGTCAGTATTTCTGTACCAATAAATGTGTGCATGTATATTTTCTTCTTCGGAGTCACTTTTCTTTAAAAGTCAATATTGATGTTTCTGCTTCTCTGTGCCATGTGCAAATCACTCATGAGTTTATTTTGTTAAAAACTCACATTCAGAGGGTTTCAGAGAGCATTGTTAACCTGCATGCCATTTATGGGTCCTAGGTTGCCTTTCCACTTGTGGGAATGCAGGTAGGGGACAGTTGTGTGGTGAAAAGGGATGGGAGACAATGCTAGAACCTGAGGATGGACAAAATGTTGAGAAAGGGGATTATCTCCCAGATACCGAGGACAGAGATTTGGAGGGAAAGAGAAGCAATAAGCAGCTCAGAACCAATAAGGAATATTGGGAAAAGAACAGAGGGTGTTTAAGGGAGTCTTGGGAGTTTTGACACAGGTTGTGTGATGTCAGTGTTTTTCCCCCTCCCTCTAAGGAAAGTCTTAATGTTGCTTTATGCATTAGCTTTTTTCTGTTGCACAAAAAAAATCATACACTTTAAAGTTACATAGTAAATGTTTGTCCATGCACCATTAAAGTCATCATGGACACTGACAGTGGTCTGTGTCTAAAACTGCTTTAGGCATCTCTGATTTCAAAGAAAGTGCAAGGACTTGGCTTGTGGGTCTGGGCTAAAATGCCAACTCTTCTACCTACTGCTGTATGGTTTATAAAATCTGTAAAAACCCACACTCTCCCTCACTGTAAGGACTAAATGAAGTCATATATATATAGTCTCCCAGCACAGTGACTGATACGCACCAAGAATTTGCTGTGGTTATTGCTCTTATTAGATCAGGACAGAACCAATGGTCATAATTGTATTCAGCTCTAGAATGAAGACACTTCCATGTGCATTCTCTCAGGTGCCATTTTTTTTGAGCCACTTAAAGTGAGGGAGCAGTCCAGTGATAGGGTAAAAAAGGAGTAGTAAGCCACAATTCTGCAGGATGCTAAATGCGCTGTCCCCTTTTAATAGAGTCAAACAATATCCACTGTTTCCTCTCTGTCCTCATAGACATGTTCCTGTCCTTGTCCATCCAAGCTGTTAAAAGGAGAACCGCCCTAGATGGAACTTCATCTTACCCCACCTTATTTTCTCTCCAGCTTTACCCCCATTTTATCCCTACGGGCTGTCCAGCACTGGTCTTCATGCTAGGATAGAGCAATAAACAAAATGCAGTGCCTAGGACCCTAACATTTTTGTCTGGTGGATGAGAGAGACAAATAACCATGAGCTTATAACAGTGTGGCTAGGACAAGAACAAGGTGCTGGGGGAGCGCAGAAAAAAAGCCCCTACTCTTGAACCAGTTAAACCTCTCTGGGCTTCAGTCTCAGGGTCCTCATCTCTAGAATGGTTACAATAATGATACTCCTTTCCTAATATTGTCCTCTCTCCAGGGTGAGATATAAAGGAGCCTAAGGAGACCAGCTATATCCCAGGAGAAACCACAAACTCTGTGCCCTGTTAGTCACATATCAGGTTGGAGGCAAAGCATTACAAGACCCCTGGGAATCTAGTCTATTCTGGGGAATGGGGGCAGGGTTGGTGCCGTTTCCATCCTTTCCTTTATGTTTTCACATCTTCAAAAGGGCTTCTTTTATTTATAATGTATTCTTAAAATTATAGATTATAAGTGACTAAATTTAGTCCTCACAGGCCATGTTATAAAAGGGGAGTACTAGCAGTGGCATATCACCCTCCGGTGGACATTGCAAGTAATGTCACATTATTGGATGATTTTACTGTTTAACACTGGAGAAATTCAAAGGGGATGGGTGATGCTTTCTTCCCCAGAGTCTCTGGGAAAGAAGTCCAGTAGTTGGGGTGCTTTTCTCCACAAGTGTTCTGGGAATTATAACCAGGAAGAACAGTGTCAAGCAGAAAAAGAAGACCTGTCTCTTTCTGTGGGGCTCTTTTCATGAAGTAGGAAATCTTTTGTAAAACCATTGCCCCCAGATAATATTTTCAGTTTCCTTTTTCTCACTGAATAAAAACTTGCACTAGTTAGTATATTAAGAAAAGAACCTCTATCAGTACATTTCAAGTCTTTATGTCTGTTCATCAGCTTTATTGGTGACATATGAATAGGAAATTGATGTGGATGCATTATTTCTGCTTTTTACCCTTTTTCTATGAACTGAGACTTCCAGCTATCATAGTGCATTCCCTTACATCAGTGTGCCAAATCCTGAAGTAGGTCTCAGTCTCATACCTGGTCTCAGTCTTTATGGAGCTCAGTCTTTGTGGAGCTCAGTCTTTGTGGAGCTCACAGCATGTTGGAGAAGACAGACAACAAAACAAGAAACTTCAGCAAACTGTAGTAGATTCTCACGGTGATGGGGGAATTCAAGATGTCCTGATAATACATATCCAGATGAGTGCAAACCATAGCCTTTCAGAGGAGGAGAATTTCCATATGAGACATAACAAATAAATAGGAGCTGTTCAGGTGGAAAGAGAACTAGAATTTCCCAGGGAAAGGAAATAATATATATGAGGTCTTGAAAGTCAGAGAGAGAATGATGCACATAAGGAACAGACTTTTATTCTGACCTTTTTATCAAATTATAAATTGTATTTGCTTGTTGTTTTCTGTAAGCATTTTGAGGGTAAGGATCCTATCCAATTCTTATGAACCCCAAGTGCTTAGTACAGAATCTGATGTATCAATATTCAATAAATGTCTCTGAATGTATAAACTAAGAGCACCCACCATGTGCCAGGCACTGAGAAGAGCTACTATTGTATTTTGATAAAATTCAGACTTATTTAGGAAGTATATAAATTAAAATATAGTTATTTCTTGCCAATGGTAAAAAAAATTTTCAGAAAAATGTATGCATCATTTGAGTAAAAAGGAGTGGGGAAACAATTAACCAGTGTTTTGCTTTTGTTTTTGTTTTTACACAGAGAAAGTCCATTTATTTCTGATTTCAAAAACAACAAATTTACAATGTAAGGAAAAACAAAAAAGCATAAAATTGCAAAGAAAAAATTATTATCCTATTGCCTCAAAACAGCCAAATATAAATATCTTCATATACTTTCTTAAAAAAAAATAAAAGCTTTGGGGTGCCTGGGTGGCTCAGTCAGCTAAGCGGCCAACAATTGATTTTGACCCAGGTCATGATCTCAGGGTCTTGGGATCGAGATCTGCCTCCACATGCAGTGGGAAGTCTGCTGGAGGATTCTTTCTCCCTCTGCCCCTCCCCTTGCTCACTCTTTCTCACACTCTCTCTCTCAAATAAATTAAAAAATGAAATAAAATTTCTTCTTTAAAAAAAGCTTTATTAAGGGATAATTGATAGACAAAAACCTGCACATATTTAATGCATACAATTTGGACATATGCATACATCCATAAAACCTTGACCACAATCAAGGTAATAGATATATTCATTATCTCCAAAAGTTTCCTTGTTGCTTAATTTCTTTTTAAAATTTTTTTATTTGAGTATAGTTGACACACAATGTCACATTAGTTTCAGATGTACATAATAGTGATTCAATAAGTTTACATATTATGCTATGCTCACCAAAGCTATTACAGTATCACTGACTATATTCCTTATGCTGTTTCTTTTATTTCTGTGACTTATTCTTTCCATAACTGGAAGCCTGTATCTGCCACTCCACTTCACCCATTTTGCCCATCCCCATTCCCTCTCCTCTGGCAACCATCAGTTTGTTCTCTGTATTTATAAGTATTTATAGGTTTGATTCTGCTTTTTGTTTGTTTATTCCCTTTTTTTTAGATTCCACATATGAATGAAATCATACAGTATTTGT